GCTACCTGTGTGTCAATTTCCACAGGTAAGCAGCAAGTGATAGACAGAGCTGAGAGTTCCCCTAACCAATAGATCAGATCGAAGCTCTGCATTCCTTTCACATCCTGTCATGAATGCTGGGAGACAATTAAACAACTCACTGAAGGAGGAGGCTCCACAAATAACCCGATCCTCAATGATAGAAAAAACAAACACATTAGTGCAAAAGATAAAGCTGAAGCTTTCGCAGCAATCTTCAGCCAAACATGCTAAGTGGATGATCCATCTTGGGCTTCCCCAGTGGTCACAACATTACAGATACCTGTCTTCAGCCAATTTGATTCACTCCAGTGATATCAAGAAATGATTGGAGACTCTGGACACTGTCAAAGCTATAGGCCTTGACAATGTTCTGGCAATTGTCCTGAAGACTTGTGCTGCAGAGCCAAGCTGCTAGAGTATGGTTACACACCGGCATGAACCCAAGAATATGGGAAATTACAGGTGTGTCCTGTACATAAAAAGCAGGACAAATCCAACTCAACCAAATATCCTCTCAATCCTCAGGAAAGTGATGGAAGGTGTCAGTAACAGTGCTATCAAGCAGCACCTGCTCAGCAATAACCTGCTCAGTGACGCCCAGTTTGGGTTCCTCCAGGGCCACTCAGCTCCCGACCTCATTACAGCCTTAGTTCAAATATGGAAAAAAGAGCTGAATTCCAGAGGTGTGGTGTGAGTGACAGCCCTTGATATCCAGGCTACATTTGAATCAAGGAGTCCTGGAAAAACTATTCACGTCTCCTCAGATACTGAAGTAGTCTGTGTCCAAATGCAACAAGATCTGGACAATTTTCAGGCTTGGGCTGACAAGTGGCAAATAACATTCATGCCACATAAATGCCAAGCTATGACCATCACCAATAAGAGACAATCTAACCACCACCCCTTGACACTCAATGCTCTTACCTTCTGTGAATCCCCCACGATCGACATCCTGAGGGTTACCATTGACCAGAAACTCAAATGGACTCACCACATAAACGCGGCGGCTACAAGAGCAGGCCAGAAGTTGAGAATACTGCGGTGAGTAACTCACCTCCTGATTCCTCGAAGCCTGTCCACCATCTACAAGGCACAAGTCAGGAGTGTGAAGGAATCCTAGACAATTTCCTGGATGGGTGCAGCTCCAATAATACTCAAGAAGCTTGACACTATCCAGAACAAAGCAGCCCGCTTGATTGGCACTACACCCACAAGCATCCACTCTCTCCACCAGCAATGCTCACCAGCAGCAGTGTGTACTATCTGTAAGATGCAGAAATTCACCAACGATCCTTAGACAGCACCTTCCAAATCCATGGCCCCTTCCATCTGGAAGGTCAAGGGCAGCAGATAGATGGGAACACCACCACCTCCAAGTTCCCCTCCCAGCCAGTCACCATCCTGACTTGGAAATATATCACCGTTCCTTCACTGTCGCCTGATCAAATTCCTGGAATTCGCTCCCTAATGGCATCGTGGGTCAACCCACAGCAGGTGGACTGCTGCGGTTCAAGAAAGCAGCTCAACCCCACTTTCTCAACGGTAACCAGGGACAGACAGTAAATGCTGGCCTAGCCAATGGCACCCACATCCCACAAATGAATAAACTTATAAAAAAGATATTGCTGGGCTAACTGAGACCCTGAGGGGATATGACAGATGGATACCAAGGGGATGTTTCCTCATGGTGGCGTATCCAGGCAGTTTAAGAGAGACAGTTTACTTTGGAACAACAAAGTCCCATTAATCCATAATAATTAAGGTCATCCCACTAAACTTATGGACAGTGCAGTGTGATAACTTGAGCCTGAATAATTGTGCACATGCATCAGTGAGGTGACAGGAGCATCAATAAGTCTCCGTCTTGTTCTGTTCAGGTTTGTTCGCAGTGGAGTACACGGTTAGAGAGACAGCAGGCGGTGAGTAAGGAGGAACTGGAGCAAGTGAAGTTAGGATTCAGCTGGTGATCAGCCTCTGATGGTCCCACTCCTGCACTTGTCCTTGTGCTGCCTTCATATTGGGTCACCTGTTGTGTGTTGTGTGGTCACAGAGTCTTTACAGCACGGAAAGAGGTGCTTAGGCCCATTGTGTCCAAACCGACCATCAAACACGTTCCAATCCCATTTCCAAGCACTTGGCCCATAGCCTTGTATGCTGAGGGATTTCAAGGACTCAGCTAAATGCTTCTGAAATGTCTTCAGGGTTCCTTCCCCTACAGCCTCCTGATTGTGGAAAGTCTGTTCACCATGAGCTAAATACCCAGCAATCAGCATCTTCTATTCACGCATGGGATGTGGGTGTTGCTGCCTGGGCCAGCATTTATTGGCCATCCCCAGTTGCAGCTCACCCACCTTCTCCAGGGCAGCTAGGGGTGGGCAATAAGTGCTGGGCCCAGCCAGTGATGTCCATATCCCATGAATGAATCCCAGAAACACAGGCCCCATATCCCTCTCTCAGTGACATGAGTATACAGAGGGCAGGATCACTGCAGTCTAACCCATTAACCAGCACAGCAGCACACCCATATGCAGCTGAATGGGAACAGTCAGAATCTGCAGGGACAGTCAGCGAAGAGGTCTCTCTCATCTTCTGCCCTAAAGTGTATTGTTTTAGAGTCATTCACAAACCCCGGGTGACCCTCCTGTACCCTCACTCTGATCTCAAACAGCATTTGTTGTTAATTGTGGCACTGAGGTCTCACAGGGTGAACACCAGCTCTGCACAAAGTACTTCCTCATAATGCAATCTCACCTTACCGATTGTTAGTCTGTATCTTGTCTCACAAGAAAGATTAGATTTTATAATCAGCACCTTCTTGTCATTTTCACTGGGAGCCGTTGTTGTTTGGGAATCTCATTGGTTTAATATGGTGAGTGGGTTAATCCTACAGGCACTGGGAAGGATGAGGGGCTGTCAGAAATACCAGTGTTCGCTAATTCGTCACCTTGACCAGGCGAACTGAGAATCTTCTTCACTCTCTACTGTCTCTCTTTCCTCTCCTTTCTTCTCTCTCTCTCCTGTATGCTCCCTCTTTCAGAGCTTCTTACTATCCAGAGCTCATGCTCGCTCTCTCGCTCTCTCTCCCTCTCCCCAGCTCCCCTCTCTCTCTCTCTATCTCTCTCTCTCTCCCTCCATCTCTCTCTCTCCTGCTTTCTCCCTCTCTCCTGCTCTCTCTCTCTCTCTGGACTGCGAGCTGCTCCTATTCATTGACCCACAGAGATCATAATGTTTTGCTCAGGTCAGTTCCCACGATTCACTGTCGCACTCTGCTCATCCTGTCTTACACACTAAACGTTCTGCTTGGATCTATACACAGGTCTGTCCTACGTTCTTCCCTTTCAGCCTTTACAAACCGATGTGTGTGGATGTGACAGAGGAACAGCTAAAGGAATCGATTTGCACAATGTACAAAAAACAATCTTTCTAGTTTCTTTAATTTTCAACTAGGTTCAATATTCAATGTAGTTAAAATTTAGGGAAATTTTATGTTTAACATGCAGCAGCCTGTTGTCCCAGGGAACAGGTTCCTGTTGTTGGTGTGTTTATCTGTAATGCCAGCTGCCCCCAGTTGTTCACCCTGGTGCAGCCATCTCTAGGGGCAGCTCATATTTGCAACAATTGTATTTTCAACAATAAACTAACTCACTGTTGTTGGTCTGCCTGTGTTCTGTGATTGCTCCACACTGCTGGACCTTCAGCTAGATGTACAGGAAGATCCCAATTCTTTCCCTTTCACTTCAAACCGTTCGATTGGTGTTAATGTGACCACGTTCTGGTCAGAAGTGGGATCATCAGTAAGTGACTGCACTCTGTCCTGTAAATCTTAGTTATAGACACATCAATCACAACATCCCGTTATTCCAGGTTTAACTGGAATATGGGAATGGGGGCCAGGAAATGATCACAACTTGTCCTGACACAGCACACCCCCTCCATTCCCCTCCTCAAAACAAATCTGAAATCACCAACTGGGTTTTACACTGATATCAAACTCAAGGAGGGAAGACATGCTGTAAAGCTGAGATACACACCCACAGACAGCATCATGTAACAGACACACTCACGCAGGGTCATGTATGCTGTGGGATCCTGACTGATCCTCTCTCTGAACTAAGACCTCACTCAGTTCAGTTTTGAGCTGTCACTGTGAGGAACAGGCAAACGTGGGAGTATTGAATATTACGATTTCAGCCTCCAGTGTCTGTGATTGGCCAAAGCTTAGTTCAGGTGTTCGACAGCAGACAGTGCACAGTGCGATCCCAACTGCTGTGTCTTCACCAACACAGTGAAGAGCGAATACCTCAGATTGAAATGATTGAGTCCCAGCAGCTTTCAGATTCTGCTCTGTTTGGGATCTTGTAAACTCGACAGATTCCAGATCAAAGGCTGTCAATCCAGATGTGTCATTGATTGACAGGTCACCCACCAATCAGCTAAGAAAGGGATGGCTCATTTCTAAACCATACACCAGACAGAGGCTGAATCTTCTTCATCTTTATTCCCTTTTCCAGATTGACATTGACAGAAAAAAGCACTGCAATTAACAGCCCAGACAGAAGAAGCTGCACAAATTCACAGACACAATGGAGCAAGAGGAAAACACTTGTGGAGATTTTCTCAATAACATGAGAATTCTGTCCCTTTAAACAGTGACAAAACTTTAAATTGGAAATGGTGGCTGAGCAGGAAGGAGGTCTGGTTTACTGAGGCAGAGACTTCTGAGGTTTACATTGTTTTTGTACAGCTGACAGTCTTCAGCATCTTCGAGAGGTTTTGACTTGGCATCACAAGTCAACACTGTCCCCATCAAATACTCCCAGGAAAGGAACAGCATGGGGTTAGATACAGAGTAAAGCACCCTTTACACTGTCCCAATGACCTGCCTTCACCCCTGAACCGCAGAAGTGTCTCCGAGCCAGTCCCAAGAAGGAAGAGAGTTGAAATTCCGTGCTGTCAATGACCTTTGTCCTGCCAGCTCAGCCCTGTTATATTTAAAGTGTCTCCTCTGTGTACTGTCTCAAACACACTACAGACATTCTGATCTCCTGATGCTCTTGCTGAGGGGAGAGGAGAGGGTGACGTGAGTGAGAGTACAGGAGAAGCGAGCGTTGGACTCCCAGTCAGAGCCAGAGAGGGTCAGCAGGCTGCTGACACTGTAGGTGCTGTCCGAAGCTCGCAGGTAGTTGCTGGTCTGAACCCCGTCCGAAATGGCTGCACCATCCTTCTTCCACTGCACCTCCAGCTCATCGGGATAGAAGTGATTGGCAAGGCACACCAGGGTGGCAGTGCCCTTGGTCTGGACCTGCTCCGGGGAGGGGGGCAGTAGGGTCAGCTGGGGCTGAGACCTCTCACGGCCTGAAAGACAAGAGAAGTAATTTTAATCCCTGCCATTCAAAAGATTTTAAATTTCCAAACATTCACTCGCAAAACAATCTGTTTGAACATTTGTAGCCAATACCGAACAAACCCAACAACAGAATGAATGTTTATTAAAATTCCTTGTTGATGGAGGACATTGAAATCCCCCACCCAGAGTACATTCTGTGCCCTCACCACCTTCAGTGCTTCCTGCAAGTGCTGTTCAACCTGGAGGAGAGACTGATTTATCAGCCGAGGGAGAGCAATATTTGGTAATCAGTGGGCGATTTCACAGAATCATACAGCACTGAAGAGGCCATTAGCCCCATCAAGTCTTTACCACCAACGCTACACTAAATCTGCTCTCCACCCACTTTATAGAACTGGGCCCATAACATTGAATATTGTGATATTTAAGGGGCTCATCCAAGTACGTTTGAATGGTTGTGAAATTACCTACCTACTCCCCTCCCAGGCAGTGTATTCCACTCCCCCAGCACTGGGAGAAAAAGCCTCAACCTTCTCTGCTTCAAAGAAAACAACCTGAGTTTATCCAGTCCCTCTTCGTCACTGAAATGCTCCACCGCAGGCAACATCCTGGTGAATCTCCTCTGCACCCCCTCCAGTACAATCACAACCTTCCTATAGTGTGGTGACCAGAACTGCACACAGTGCTCCAGCTGTGGCCTAACCAAAGTCCTATACAGCTCCACCATACCCTCCCTACTCTTATAATCTATATCTGAAATGATAAGGACAGGCATCCCGTATGCCTTCATAACTGCCCTCTTAACCTGCTCTGGCACTTTCAGGTATCTATGGACAATCATCCCAAGATCCTGCTGTTACTCTTAGATTCCTAGTGTCCTGCCATTTATTGAGTATTCCCTTGTCTTGTTACTTCCTCCAAAGTGCATCATCTCACATTTATCAGGCTTACATTCCAGCTGCCTCTGATCTGCCCATCTGACCAATCCGGTTATATCCTCCTGTAACATAAAACCTTCTTCCTCAGGGTCGACTTTTCGGCTGATCTTCAGGTCATCCACAAACTCAGTTATCCTCCCCTCCCCTATTGTCATTGACATTGTTCCTATATATCACAGTGAGGGAGCCAGCACTGATCACTGTGCTATCCCACTGCACACTGGGCCCAGTCACACAAACAGCCTTCTCCCATCAACCTCTGTTACCTGTCACGAAGCCAAGTTTGGATCCAATTTGCCAACTTATATCCCATGGGCCTTTACCTTCTTCATCCGTCTCCCATGTGGAGGCCTTGCTGAAATCCACATAAACTACATCAACTGCACCCCCCTCACCGACACACCTGGTCACGTCCTCGACAAAATCCCACCAGATTTGTTGGCCATGACCTCCCTCTGACAAAGCCGTGCTGACTACCCCTGAAATGGAGATTCATTCTACCTTCAGAATTTTCTCCAATCACATTCCTAACACTGATGTGAGACTCACTGGTTTCCTTGACCATGTTTGACCTGATGGCATGAGACATTGTCCAGAGTCAATGTTGAGGACTCCCAGGGTCATTCCCTCCTGACTGTATCCCACTGTGTCACCACCTTTGCTGGGTCTGTCCTGTTGTTGGGACAGGACATACCCAGGGATGGTGATGGTGGTGTCTGGGATATTGTCTGTAAGGTCTGATACTGTGAGCATGACTGTGTCAGGCTGTTGCTTGACTTCTTTATGAATTTGGCACCAGCCCCCAAAATGTTAGTAAGGATGGCAGAGCAGGGTAGACAGGGCTGTGTTTGATGGTGTTTCTGATGCCAAGGTCAGTGCCAGGTGGTCCGTCCGGTTTCATTCCATCTTGAGAATTTTCGGTGATTTTTACAATGGAGCGGCTCGCTCAGCCATTTCAGAGGGCGGTTAAGAGTCAGCCACATTGCTGTGGGTCTGGAGTTACATGTAGGTCAGACCAGGTAAGGACAGTAGATTTCCTTCCCTAAAGGACATCAGTCCTTTATCTCAATATGTCTTTAACAAACCTCCAATCACTCACAGATCAGGAGCCACTATTTAAGAAAGGAAAAGTCAGGGAATTATAGAGCGGTGAACCTGACATCGATGGTGGGAAGGTTGTTGGAGAGAATCCTGAGGGACAGGATTTACATGTGTTTGGAAAGGCATGGACTGATCAGGGATAGTCAACATGGCTTTGTAAGTGGGAAATCGTGTCTTACTAACTTGATTAGTTTTTAGAAGAAGTAATGAAGAGGATTGATGAGGGCAGAGCAGTGGACATGATCTATATGGAGTTCAGTAAGGCATTCGAAAAGGTTCCTCATGGTAAGACTGGTTAGCGAGGTTAGATGACTTGGAATACAGGGTGAACTAGCTATTTGGACACGGAACTGGCTCGAAGGTAGAAAACAGAGGATGGTGGTGGAGGGGTCTTTTCAAACTAGAGCACTGTGACCAGTGGTGTGCCACAAGGATCGGTGCTGGGCCCGTGGCTTTCATCATTTATATAAATGATTTGGATGTGAACATAAGAGGAATAGTTTGTAAATTTGTAGATGGCACCAAAATTGGAGGTATAGTGGACAGCGAAGAAGGTTACCTCAGAGTACAAGGGGATCTTGTTCAGAAGGGCCAATGGGCTGAGGAGTGTTAGATGGAATTTAATTTAGATAAATATGATTTGCTGCATTTTGGAAAGGCAGATCAGAGCAGGACTTATACACTTAATGGTAAGGTCCTGGGGTGTGCTGCTGAACAAAGAAGCCTTGGAGTGCAGGTTCATATTTCCTTGGAAGTAGAGTCGTGGGTGGTTAGGATAGTGAAGACAGTGTTTGGTAAGCTCCCCCTTATCGGGAAGGGCATTGGGTATATATTTGGATCATATTTGGTCATTTTCAAGCTGTATAAGACATTGGTTAGGCCAGTATTGGAATACTGTAGGCAGTTATGGTCTCCTTGCTATAAGAAGGGTGTTGTGAAACTTAAAAGTGCCCAGGTAAGATTTACAAGGATGTTGCCAGGTTTGGAGGGATTGAGCTATAGGGAGAGGCTGAAAAGGCTGGGGCTAATATCCCTGGAGCGTCAATGGCTCAGGTGTGACCTTATAGAGGTTTATAAAATCATCAGGGACATGGATAGGATAAACTGGCAAGGTCTTTTCCCAGGGGCAGGTTTGTCAAAAACTAGAGGGCATAGGTGTAAAGTGAGAGGGGAAATATTTAAAAGATACCTTAGGGGCAACATTTTCACGCAGAGGGTTGTGCGTGTATGGAATGAGCTGCCAGAGGAAGTGGTGAAAGCTGGATCAATAACAGCATTTAAAAGCCATCTGGATGGGTAGATGAATAGGAAGGGTTTAGAGGGATACGGGCCTAATGCTGGCAAATGGCACTAGATTTATTTAGGATATGGGTCAGCATGGATGGGTTGTGCCGACGAGTCTGTTTCCGTGCTGTGCATCATCTCTATGACTCTATAACTCGATAACTTTATCTGAGAAACTTGGAGCAGACATGGATCAACATACTTCAGGAAGGGTGCCCGTGTAGGAGGTTCTAGATTTCATTTCAAACCTTGCTGCCCAGCACTGGGCTGATGTCAAGGGTGAGGCTGCAATGAGTCTCAGTGTCTCGGGGTCAGGCAGGGTCACTGCTCCGAATGACCCTGTGACCCCTGGAAGGTCGGAGCATGTGGACAATGGGTGGGGGCCAGGATCAGGAGGCTCTGACCTCTAAAAAGAACTTGCATTTGTGTAGCACCCATCCCCAACTTAGGATGAATTTTGCCCCTCACTTCTGATTATGCATAGCAACATCACAGAGAACTTCGATAATGAGCAGAGAATCAGATTTTTAGGGATGTTGATTCACGAATAAATATTGACCTGGACACCAGGGGGACCTGTCCTACTCCTCTAACAGTACCATGGCATCACATATTGCTCCCTGAGAGGGCAGACATCAGATTGTGCCAACTGAAAGGCAGTCCTTCTGACAGTGCAGTGCTCCCTCAGTACTGAACCTCCGACAGTGCAGCACTCCCTCAGCACTGACCCTCTGAAAGTGCGGCACTCCCTCAGTACTGACCCTCTGACAGTGCAGCGCTCCCTCAGCACTGGCCCTCCCACAGCATAGCACACACTCAGTACTGACCCTCCGACAGCGCGGCACTCCCTCATTACTGACCCCCTGACAGTGAGGCACTCGCTCAGTACTGGCCCTCCGAAAGTGCGGCACTCCCTCAGTACTGACCTTCCGACAGTGCGGCACTCCCTCAGCACTGACCCTCCAAAAGTGCGGCTCTCCCACAGCACTGACCCTCCCACAGCGCAGCACACACTCAGTACTGACCCTCCGACAGTGTGTCACTCCCTCAGTACTGACCCTTCAAACGTGCAGCACTCCCTCAGTTGTGACCCTTCGATAGTGCGGCACTCCCTCAGTACTGACCCTCTGAAAGTGCAGCACTCCCTCAGTACTGACATTCTGACAGTGCAGCATTCCCTCAGTACTGACCCTGGGTCAGTGCGGCATTCCCTCAGTACTGACCCTCCGACAGTGCGGCACTCCCTCAGCACTGACCCTCTGAAAGTGCAGCACTTCCTCAGTACTGACCCTCTGACAGTGCGGCACTCCCTCAGTACTGATCCTCCAACAGTGCGGCACTCCCTCAGCACTGACCCTCCTACATTACAGCACTCCCTCCGTACTGACCCTCTGACAATGCAGCATTCCCTCAGTACTGACCCTCTAACAGTGCGGCACTCCCTCAGCACTGGCCCTCCGACAGTGCGGTGCTCCCTCAGCACTGATCCTCCCACAGCACAGCACACACTAAGTACTGACTCTCCGACAGTGTGGCACTCCCTCAGTCCTGACCCTTCAATCGTGCAGCACTACCTCAGTTCTGACCCTTCGATATTGCGGCGCTCCCTCAGTACTGACCCTCTGACAGTGCAGCACTCCCTGAGTACAGACCCTCTGACAGTGCGGCACTCCCTCAGCACTGAC